CTGAATAACGTGTTGGAAAATATATCTCCAAGCACAATAAAATGTGATAGCCAAGGTGCGACACGATTAGCAATCTACCATTCATGCACGAAGCACATCGACATAAGACACCACTACATTCGACAAGCCATTGAAGCTGGAAAGATAAGGATTGACTACCTGCCCGCCGAGAGTATGCCGGCAGATATAATGACCAAAGGACTTTCAAAGAAGAAACACGATTTTTGTTGCGAAGAATTGGGAATTAAAAGGATAATTAATTAAATAATGGAGATTCGATTAAGAGGGGGTGAAGTAGGTGCCGTCACACCAGCTGATACAATTGTCTCTCCATTGTTCGGAATGGTGACGACTAGTGAATTAGTGTGTGTTCGGTCTTTAAGTGTATGTAACTTGTAATACTGATGTACAATTAAAGTTAATAATAAATCTTACTTCTGCTTTTCACTTTTGCCCCTTAACATTTCTGTATATAGGTTTTGTTTATTAACTGTTCAACAGAAATAAAGAGTTGTTAGTGATAAGCAGGGATAGAGATTTATTCAGGAGTTGATTGTATATTAATTGAGCAAGAATTAATTGATGGAACATGTCGGGGATTGGTCAGCCGTATTAAATAAAGGGGCTTGATTGTCTGTCCGAATTGTTGTAAAACCTCCACGGTCAGAGTTAATGGAAAGTAAGTAGGTGTTCACCCGTCAAGCCCGGGCAACCTGACAAATCTTACCCCTAAAAGGCTTGACGGACCTAGAGTGGAGTAGCTCGCTACCCTTTCGGAGCACCCTAGCGAGCCGCGAACCGCGCGCACGGAAAAGGGCTCAACACATATTGGTGTCAGGTGTGGGATGGTTGCAAAAATACCACCCTGACCCTCGAGCCTTGTAGGGGAGCAGTGTTTGGTCGTACCAATTTCAGCCTATGTTCTAGTGAAGTTGGGGGAATTATGGTTTATTACATGTTCTGTCGTTTTTATAGATGTTTTGTACGTATTTCTCTATTGCAGATAGTCTTAGTATTAGAATATTTTGATTTTTGAAAAGATCTGTTGTTTCAGCCAAATTAAACATTTAATGGCTTAATGTAGGGTTCGTGTTTATAGTTTGTTAAAATTTAATTTGTAGTTGCGATAATATAACCAAATATTGCTTTTGTCGATTATCAAACTTATATAGTTTACTAAGAATGGTAGTAAAGATGTATACATTGTATTTTGTGGGAAAATGTATTTGGTAAGTAATTTTCTATTTTTGCCGGGCGTAGTAGGAGGTTGTTTTATTTTATAGGCTAGGAATTTGTATCTATTCGGAATTTTAGGGGGCAACCTGACACATCTTACCCCCTAAAAGGCTTGACGGGCCTCGAGTGGAGTAGCTGCTACCTGCTCGGAGCACCCTCGTTCATTCGGACGAGCCGAGAGTCGAGCGCGCACGAAAAAAAAAATACCGCTCACAACACATACATTACATAATTAATTACAGATACATAAAGCAAATTACAATTAATTTTCGCGTAGTGTGCACATCTTCGAACTGTGCGCACGTACGCTGTTACCTAGTTTTCTTCCCTAACCTATTAACCGTCCGTCCCGAAGTAATCATCTACCGGCAGAAATGGACAACCTGAGCGAAGGCATCACATACGTCATCTGATCCTCGACCGTCTGAAGAATCAAGATCTTAGGATGGGATGCTTGAAAATTTTCTGCGATGATTGCATTTACTCCCGTTATCTGCTTGATTATTCAGGGTTAATCGCAGGAAATTTCCAAGCATCCCATTATCTCTATCCCACAGAACTCAAAGTTATCTACAATGATGAAGAAAAAGGTTATTCTAATAAATCATCTATCTACAATACAATATGGAATTATCGCATGACCTCTCTGATGACCTGTTTTTAGAAGAAATCCAACCTAAGCGAGAGTACACCCCCTCAATTTCTAAAAAAATTATTCAGTCCCTTACCTCAGCTTCCAGGCCATTATTAATAGAAGATAAAGATGTAGCACACTTAAAGCCCCTATTTAGTCTAGTGTATCTGTTCACTTACATGACTATGTTAACGTCCGACAGACACAAAAGAAATGACTACGAAGATCTGTCTGCCTTTGTGCAATGTAAAACAAATCTCTGTTCTAAAGGAACAAAACATTCTTATTTTATCAGATTCACTGATTTGACAATTAAATTGAATGAGTACCTATTTTCCATACAAAATTTGAAAGAAAATTGGGAATTTTTAAGAACAAGGGACGATATTTTGATGGTTTATAAGGGGGACTTGGGAAACGCCGCGTTGGCAATAACCATTGTCACATCTTTAATATTAACAGTGGCCTACTTGAAGAGGAAAGTCCGCCTAACATCGGGGAATGGAGTTGTAGAAATCAACCCTCCATCCTAAATTCTTCCAGGATAATTTCTATTCTGGGGGTGGAGGTATTACAACGTCATTATGTCTGGAGTCAAATTAATAAATCCTGATGTAAACTATCGAGCTAAGCCGAGAGGTTAGCGTGAGAGACTCGCTCAAAGACGCCGCGGTCGTGGGTTCGATTCCCACCGACTCTGGCCTTTTTCACGATCCCCCCCAAATATGAATACACATATAATAATCGTCATCTTGGCTAAAAAGTAACTGCAGCATAAGACAATCCTGACTGTTGTTTCGTAATTTACTCTTTTTCAGAATTGCATTTTTTAATGATAACATGAAGAATAGAAGATAAAGACCCTAAATAAACTAAAGAAGCTTTATTTTTATTTCCTTCATGTTTTAGGGAGGGCTGAATATATCTGATTATTTTAACCATTTCGTAAAGAGGTTTGATGACTCAGTTGCTTACTTTCTTTCTTCTTACTAGCTTTTTTTAAATGGCCGAAGAAATAAAATTTGAGCCTTTATTTAAGGTATAATAATATGATCGAGAAAATTTAACTACGGGTCACTGATCAATAACTTCAGTAGTCGATTGAGTATCCAAATGGCATTGACAAATCATGGAAAGCATAGGTTGTACCTGGCATAAAACAAAATAATCAGTAGTCCGGAATGACTGTTCCACCTAGTTGCCCAAACGTGTTGGCATATAATATTAAAATTAAAATTTTAAAAACCAAGCAAGATATTTTGCCGAAACCAGAAGAAACAGTGTTTTCAAAAACCTTCAAAATTGTACAAAATCCAACTGATATCGGAAAATTCAATGTTACCTGTTAATTATTTAAATTTTCAATTGTTTATTGAAGAAACTTGTATTCACATGTGCGATCTCCGATTTTCATTTTTTTACGTGACTTTCGGTAAGCTTGTTGAAGAAGTTAGCGACAGGAGGCGGTAACACCGGTGCCATGAACCCGGGAGTCGCTGGCACGCGGATAGGAGAAGAGGAAAACACTTCCCTTTTTTTTCTAAATTTTAAACAGGAATAGCAGTTCCCTATTTTGAAGACGTGGATAAAAACCACATTTACATCTAGATACCTACTATGGAAAAGTCCAAGTCTTCCAGGGTACAGGGACTAACACGTCCTGTTCCCTCCCGTCCCGCCACCCGCCAGCCGCCCGGACACAGCATCCCGACGACCGACCCTCGCCGCCAACCCTTCCTTCAGCTATGCTTAACTTTATAACGTATTTTGTACACAAAGCTTTCAATTGCTCTTAGTACGTCTATATTTTAGTTAGTAGAAAAATGTAGTTAAATGGTAGCAATGGTAGGAAGGTAATTTGTTTAAAAAAAATGCCGTCTTAAATACAGGACACGTATTTATCTGAACCAAATTCTTCCATTTCTGGACAAAAACTGCATTGTGGGGTAGTTGTTATATTTTATTCAGGTACTGTTTGCACATTCCATGATTTGACATCAGCCTGCATGTTTTATTAACTTGTAACTAACAACTATAACTAATAAGTCCAAACCAAAAAGCTAGAATTGCAAATAAAGACGCAAATATCAATTGAATAAAAAAAGCAAGAACTAAAATAACTGTAACCAATAAGTCGTATTAAAAAGCCAGAAATGCAAATGGGCACACTAATATTAACGATTAGGCGGACAGTATTGCCAAGGAAGGATCTCTAATGCACCAACCACATATGCCCCTTACTTAGGGAGATACTTAGTTATCTCTCCTTATATAGCCGACGACCAACAGCGATAAACTGGTTAAAAAACGATAAACCTAAAAAGCTAAATTGCTACATGGTCATGCGACCACGTGTCGAGGTCATCACGAATATCTCTCATTTTTCTATCTACTGCAAAGAAAAGTTAAGTGACGGAGTCTGAATATTGTAACTTTAGAAGAAACCCAAATCCCTGAGGAACCATCTGAGGTTGGTCGGAAAACGCATTGAAGAATTGGCGGAAGAGGACGCAGGTCCAAGTGCGTCTAAAAAAAAAAAAAAAATTAATGCGTCTCCGTAATCTTTGAAATATTCGCTAACTATCGGGTTGTCCGGAAAATAATGCAGGATTTTAAGTTTTCATTAAAAAAAATCTATATAAAATATTCTGTTTACGTTTACAGGATTACTCATTTGTATNACGTTGGGAGAAATGTATTGAGAGTATGGGAAATTATTTTGATTAAAGAACATTGCTTTAAAGTAACTAGTTTCTTTTTTTTTGTTTAATACCAAAATCTTGCATTATTTTCCGGACAACCCAATAGTTTGCAAGACAATTAATCCATCACTCTCAAAATTGTCACAGCTGTTTCGGCTTATAAGCCACAGACTTATGACGAGTGGCAAATTTGGACCCATGACTTCCTGGACGATGATGAGGCCGAAATTATTTTCCATATTCGTAACGGAGGGACTTGGCAAGATATTAAGTTCGACCGAAAATGGACCGTATGGGCGGCGGAATTAGAAAGTGTATCATCCATGATGTTTGGAAACTTATGATTTTTCCTCTTGAAAGTGGGATAATAGGTAATCTAAAAAAAAACCACAACCAGTTTTTAACCACACGTTTCGGATTTATTTTAATCCTTCCTCAGGTGAGTTAACGCAATGGTTAAACAGTGGTCTTGGCATGAAGTTTTCAAAGTGAGCGGACGTGTTCCTTGAGTGCTCCGTGGAGGTGTACTGCTGAGACTGTCTACAGGAGGAGTTTCCGTCAACAAACTACTCCAGTGGAACCGGCATCTCTCCAGCTTTCCAACGAGCCATCGCGCGAGAAAATTGGTTAAGGTACGGCTGAGTTATTGGCAATTATATATTACGCTCTTCCGAGCACATGGTCGACGCTACCAGGGTACCTTACCTTGGAGCTGTAAAAATCTCTCTCTGAATTTCGTCCCATAGAAGGAAATCAGGGAGGGGCCACCCGGGAACTATAAGTTTCTGGACCAGCTGGGAACCTGAGAACTTCAATACTCCCCTGTGTGCTTAATTACTCCAGGGACTTGAAACTTTGTGGTGGCTTAGTGGCCCGCATTACACTTAAGTAGTGAGGGTTTGCCTACCCTTTGCATTGAAGGGGCAAGAAACCAGAGAAGCCCTCAGGGCTCATAGTAGTGCGGGTTTGCCTTTTTTAAAGAACTTTTGTGTTATTTATTGTTTGTTGTTATAATTTTACCTATTTATTTATTACATATTTAATTGTATATTTATGTATTTATTCTGTATAGTTGTAAGTGTGAATGTGGAGTAACCCACTATAATGGATAAACAAAGTAACTGGTTATCGAAACAGCGAGCAACCAGCGAAAATACAAAACCACCCAGAAGACAATCAGTCGGTAGTATTGATACCAGGAAAGTCAGTAAAAATACAGGGGGGGGGAACCAAACTAGTTCAACAGAAATGAGACCCCAAACATCTGTACCCAACAGTGTCGATTCACTAATCCAAACAAAGGACAATACTACTGGAATAATGAAAAAAGAAGCATGCAAAAGTAATGAACAAAACCAAGAAGTAACAAAAAATCAAATGCAAGAAAATACAAGAGAAAAAAGAAAAGCATGCGATAATGAAGACGAACCATTAGTTAAGACAAAGAGGAGAGTAGAAAGTGAATCACACAATGAAGAAGAACTGAAAGAAATTTTCTCTGTAAGAAATAGTTCACTCATAATAGCAGGGGAATTTGCAAGAAACCTGATAACAGAGATTGACCAAATTGTAGATGAAGTTGGGAAGCATGCCTCGACGGTTATAGCGGAGGGACTTGGGAAACTCTCACATTCGACGGAAAATGGATCCGAAATGTTATGAGCGGCGAAATCAGAAAATATCTCATCCACGACATTTTGAAAGCCAGACCAAATGAAACTTTTAAAGAGTTCTATACATATTTTCTGAAAACACCAGACCAACTGGATTCAACATCCTATTCGCCCATGTAAACGATACCAACACCCCCCCCCCATCACGTGTCAGTTGGGACCACGGCAGGTTCGTCAGGCGTATCAATGGCCGCTACATTCGAACATACAGAAGAGTTGCATGAGTCCCCCAATGCCAACTGGGACCGTACAAAATACATTAAAGGTATTGAACGTTATTCGGCACTACGGGGACAAGCTATATGTCAAATCTTCGGAGGCGACATCTGGCGATTTCCTCATACGACTATGCATCATGCTATGGGACAAGGCGGTTCGGATGGATCGCTGGAAGGTTGCTTCGAAGACTATCGAAGTAATCCTTTAGAAATTAAATCACATAGCGACTCTTCAAGATCTCAACGGACTGACCAAACAACTGGAGGACATCGTCGAACGAGGGGCTAACTTCCAGCACGTGTTACAGCATATGAGATCTACAACCACATGGACAAAAACGTTGTAGTTCCCGATCAGGATATGTTCACGTCGCATTCATGGAGGTCTTCGAAATATGACATTTTTGTTTTTTTCGGTTTCACCCTTTTTCATCATTTTCTTCGTTCGTTTGTCTTCGGAAAAAGGGGAGAACTTTGTCGATACTCGGGGAAATCATCGTCCCGAGTGATTGGCATCGCCTGTTCTCGAATCAACCAAAATAGTGGGAATCACTGCAGAAAATCTCGCTGCTCGACCAACAGAAGCAGGAACTTCGTTCGATCTTCGCTTACAGGACATCTGGAATTTCACCGCAGGGACTTCGATCCATCAACGTGAACCCACCATCATCGACATCGTACTTCAAAATCTGTATTTGTTTTTTCGTAATTTCATTAACACCTATTCATTAATTTTCATTTTAATTCATTATATATTTTCTCCGCTACCTCCTAGATCATCCTCGTCCTCTCAACCGATTACAGCAGGTGTGGGGTGGAATGCAACAATTTCCACCTTACCCGCCCCCTGTACGTTCGTAAATAGTTCTGTTTTAAAATAAATTATGATGAGAAATAGATTCAGGATATTATAAAAATTGAATAAATAATCACTATCCCTCGTAAAAGAGGGAAAAAAATATATATAGGTGTGTGAAACGAAAGATCGAGTTTCTTTACTTCCTTTTCGAGGTCAGTTAAGGCTACCCGATAACAAAATTAAAAAAAAAAATAAAAATAAAAATAAATAATAACATAATAGAATAAAGTAAACTGAAGAAAGAAAAAAATATAGCCAAATTTAGTTTCGACAAAGAATGCAAATAATTAGTGTATAGACGGAGCGGCAACGGATTATATTCTTCTTATAATTATATTATATTCTAAGAAGGGAAAGGTTGGATAGTACCCTTTTTGTCCCCTTTAGAATTATGTCAAATTTTTCCAATGTAGCGATTATGTTGCCGCCGCAGCTCCGATTGATTACAGGTACCTCCGCTGCAGAGATGTCGCCGAGGTCCATGCCACCTCCACACAAGACTGCTTGCAGGTGATAGTCGACCTGCCATTGGCCTCCGTGGAAAGAAGGCTCCGCCTGCTACGCGTGATAACTCTCCTGACATTGCTGTTCTTAGGGGAAGTAAGCAAAGCTTTCCCGTTGTGTTCCTGGAGGACCGTGCTAGGACGTACCAACCTGTTTGGGCCTGGAGCGAAGAACAGGATGCTTGGTTCTACAGCGTCCCGGCGCCGACGAGGCTGATCTCAGAATGTGATCTCAAGGGAAAGGTTACCGTAACGGAGATGGAGGTGCAGGGCGTGGGCAAGGTGGCAGCAGCTGAAGGATGTACGCTACGAACACCGGACTCCTACTTCTTGCCCACCGGCAGTAACAACCTGTCGATGGACCTGGAGGATAGATGGCCGCACCGAGAGCAACACCAACCTGGGAAGAGGTCATCGAGTGGAACAGTGGTGAGGTGGAGTAGTGTATAGTGTTGGACAGAATAGTTTAGGAGTGGTTGTTCCAAAGGGAAGCAACCACTTCAAACGGAGGGGAGTGAATTGTAACCGGTGATGGGAAGATTTATAAAATAAAATGAATCAAATATTGTTTTAGATAGATTTAATATTTGTAAGTAGGATAATAAGAAACAGTGTCGGCAAAAGGGGGACCTAGGTGCTCTGTCAGCAACCCGGCCTCAGGTGAACGGCAACAATAGAGGTCAGAGACGCGGAGCCGTTAGAGGGAACAGTTCGGAATAAAGTTTGTGTGATGTGGTGGACTCTCCTCGTGGCAGTAATAAGCGGTGAGTGCCTGTATTGATAAGAGTTGTGGCGCCAATCATTTCCTGTTAAGACCCTAGTAATTCTATCCAGCTGCCCCCCCTTTTTGCCGAGACTTAATTACGTATAAGTAGTTCATATGAAGATGCTTGATTGTAAATCACATAGTTCTGTCGAATAAATTAGCATTAGAAATTAGCGCGACTCATTTAGCCTCGAATCACTCTTCCAGGATCCCGGGGTTACATGTACATAAATAATATGCAACTTCCAAATAATCAAATTAATTACCTTAATTTTTACTAATTTTATCGTTAATTTACTAATGTATTATTAAGGTATTATATTAATTTAATTTTTACCTTTTATCTTCAATCACTAATTTATAATTAATTTCTACAGTATTTACTGATATAATATTTACTTGTGATATAATTTCGCACGTTCAAAATTGAGCGGCATTAAAAACCAGCTTCATATTGGAACGTCGCGTTGGCGGGGGTATCAGCGGGTTCACTTTTGCAATTCATGTCGAGAGACGTGTTTGTAGAAACCTTTCAACCTGATGATGAGCTAAAGGGCTCGAAATCCGGATCGTTGCAAACAACTTACGGCTATTAGGAACTATCGTTTTAAAAGGATCGAATCTGGATCCTGCGGAAAAAGCAGACATACTAAAGCGACATGTGCAAACTGCGGAGGTGATCACGCCAGAGGGTGCAATGCCTTCAAAGACTTACAAGCAAACCGCACAAGGATCACGGAAGTACAAGGAAGGAAGAACAGTAGTACATCGAAACTACCCCAACTAGACGACACTAATTTTCTGTCGCATTTTAACAAGAAAAACGAAGCCCTACCACCATCAACATGGTTGGAGATCGAAACAAGACCAACGGAAAATCAACGGGCTGAGGAAGCTACTAGCACATCAGTTGGTATGCTGCCTGGTCTCCAACATTTCCTAATATAAATGAACTGAATGGGTTTTTTCTGATATTTCAGAATACATATTAAAATTGTGTCCAAATTTTGGAGTGTTGGACGCAATTTTTGCTTCCAAAAATAGTCCAAATTTTGGAGTCTTGGACGCAATTTTTGCTTCCAAAAATAATATCGAACCATTACATGTGTTCGTTAGTGAAGCACAGGCGTCTTGTGGCGTCTTAATTAGAACTTTTTGGTTCCTTTTTGAATGCAGAATCTACTGGCAAAGTTTGTAACACGAGAAACCAAACACCCTGAATAAGTGACCTAGGGTATACGTCATATCCTTAAATTGTATCATGTCTAACACATTAACGAGACCTTGGGGTGGCTCAGGGTGGCATTCTCACCCCTCTTATCTTATAACCAACAAGCCACGTAGGTTGAGACCACGAGGCGAACAGCATTTTCAAGAGCGCGGGAAAAGTGGTCTGAGAGAAGGGAGGAGTGAGGAAGTTTTTAATTTTGAGTTTGGTTTGGATTGTTCATCGGCTCTCACGTGGTGGTCAAAATCGAAGAAAGAAAAAACAAAAACATCTTGAAGAAAGAAAAAAAAGAAAAAACATCTTGAAGAAAGGAATACGTCTCAAGAGAGAAAATTCTTAATTACTCTTTAATTATTCTTTTTATCGATTTTTTTGTATAATTTCGTTTCTTTGTTTTTAATAAAACATTGCATTGTTCTTTAACCCATTTTTTTAATTGCCAATTCCTTGTTTCAGATAAAAATCCATTACAAATAGTGGTAGCAGAGCATAAAACTTGACAAAGAATTTGGTAAAAATGGGTAAAACAAACAAGCGAAGAAAGGGCGCTCGATCGTGCTTGCGAAACATCTTTCAGGAAGAATCTCCAATATCACGAATGGCAACTCCAGATCGCTCACAAATGGAAATGACAATTCGTGAAACTATTTCTCAAAAACATCGACAAATGATGGAAAGCAGCATCGACACGTTGGTACAAGCCTTCTCGGAGCAACTAAAGCAATTTTGGCCAAAAATAGAATCTGATAAATTACAATTTAATTCAGTAATATCTGGCACAGCTCAAAATACCTTATCAACAAGCATCAATATTAATTCAGAGGGAACAATTCCTTCTTTGCCAACCCCACCAAATATCCAACAAAAAATAGAAAAGGATTTGGAATTAACTAACCTTGAACTTGCCTTGAAGGAAGCTAATTTGGACAATAATGATATCCAAAAAAATAAAAATAATCAAACAAAACAATATGGCCCACAAACAGGACTTTGCAGGTGAAATTGTAGAAAAGAGCTACAAAGGGACACACACACAAAAAAAAAAGATTACGCCTTAAAGGATTATGCTATCAGGATCTACTTTCGTAGAAAAGCCCCCATCTAAATATCTGGACTTCACCACAATTGGTAAATTTCCGAACTTTAAACTATTTCAGCCGCTCTCTACAATAGTATTCTTGTGTGAATTGGCACCCATATAGATGAAATAAAAATCATGGATATGAAAGAGTACTTGGCCGTAGATTGTTAAACGAATCCATGTTTGTTCAAATAGATTGTAATTCCAGTAATCTAAAGACTGATTGTAATAAACTAATTTACAGCATTGGTTAAAAAACTAAGCTTCTCTTATTAATGTATCTTATTGATTATATAAATGTACATATAAATTATATAATAATAACTTATTGTAAGAAGTGTACTTAAAAAATCGTTGACTTGTAAATGATTATTACATTACTATTTTTATTTAAGACGTGGTACATGTAAGCAGAATTAACATATAACACATGTTAATGTTATCTCTATGTTTGTAAATTAACTGAATTTGTATTTTAAAAAAATTTATATTTTACTATGTTGTTGTAATGCCCTGAGGAAGGGCAAATATAGAGCCGAAAGCTTGGCAATTACAGTGTATGATTCATTGAATATTGTATCCAATATTGTAATGTATGTTGTATACATTGTAAAATTGGTGCAAGCTGTAAACATAAATAAATTAAAAACCTGTTATAAATCGAAAACAAAGTTGGTAATGTTTTTTTGGATGATGTAATGAATGATATTCCTAATTATGAAAATACCTTGAAAAAATGGACTATGTACCAATAAATATCCTAAACCTGAATAACCTAAGTTGGGTGATATCAGAATAACCTTGTCAATCCTGAGTAAGCGTTATGCATGCCTTTCTTGGACCATATACCCAATAATATTTAGCAAAGGGTTGAAAAAAAAAAAAAAAAAAAAAATACAAATACAAATGCTGTTTTAAATTCAAGGAAACGTAAGGATACCAGTAGAAGTAAGACAAAAACGAAAATATCCAAACAGAAAAAAAAAACATGTAAACCGACAAAAGAGGAACAAAGGGAATCCTTTTAAAAAACGTATTTATTTGGAAAAACATAACGTTTTGGTAAAGTTACTCTTCTCTTTACTCACAAAAGCCAAAAAATATTAAGGAATACACAAAGGGAACACTTCAAATAAAAAAATTTCATTTAAAAAACAACATTTTTAATAAAATTCCTGGGCAATATAGATACCCAGTGAGTGATGCAGTCGAGGGGGTCAGACCCAATTTACAATAACTTTTACAATTTATTACCAATTAAGATTGAGCTGTGCCAGGGTTCTCAAATCTAGAACAGCGAGCCCGGCAAATACGAACCAGAGAATTTATGTTAATTACATAATATTCCATTTACATATATTTTTTAGATTAAAACTGTATGTAACATTATAAGTAGTAAGTAATGCTTCTATTGAACTTAGTATAGATTTTATCGTTTTGTTTTTAAATGTAATATACCACTATATGTTTTTATAAACAGTATAAAAAGACTGTCAAAAAATAAATAAAAAATAAACTATTCCACACATGCTTATTAACCATCACTAACCCTATGTTACCCCTACCTTACCCATCTGCGGTGTGCAGTCTGAATTTTTATTGTTATTTAAACTATCATTTTGGATTATAAATATTGCTGTTTTAATTTAACTTTAAAATTAAATAAAATAACATTACATATTATGGAAAATAAAATAAAAAAGTAGATATTTAGCTATGTTCTTTTCCTCCTGGTAATTAACCGGTTCATTTTGAATTTAGTGTATTCAGTTCATAACACAACAGTAAAAATGCTAACCATTCATAACCACCATAACCATACAAAAGAAAGCATTTATAATACCGACTCTGCAATACTAGTTACTAAAATAGAAAACTAAATTCAAATAAAACGTTTAAATGCTGTAATTGATAAATTGGATTTTTATTTACATTAAAGGCCCAGAACTCTACATGTTGTATTTTTGTTTTTTTGAGGGAAGGGAGGGGAGAAAATAAGAGGGGGTAAAGAAAGAAAAACTAGACATCTGCTAGAGTTGAGGGGTCGAGTTGGACGATCTCGCCTGGCTTGAACGCAGGCATGCCGAGATACGGGCAGCTCGCGCATCTGAACGCGTCGCCCAAGTAGCACTGGTCCCAAATAAAAAAATCGTTTAGTGAATTTTTTTTCACTCTGTTGAACACATAAAGGTAGAAAAAAAATAAACTCACGTTTCCGCAGGAGGACTTCTGCGCCGGTGCTGGTTCGCCTTTGCCATTGACCTCTTGGGCCAGCTCTTCGGCGAGGCCGCAGGAACAGTTCTTGCACGCTTTCTTCTTCCCCGTCGTACCGCACACTGCAAAGAATTAACAATTGTTATAACAATTATACATCTTTATTTATTTATTTTATTTTTGAGGAAGATCACCTTTTAACGAAGATGGGTCAGGTTTTTGCAAATCGGCCTCGTCCAAGAGTTCATTGCTGTCTATAATGTCATCGTCATCCGCATCAACTTTCCATACATTCGCCACATCCTCAGGTACATTGAGGTTGATCTTTGCCGATGAGCCGATCTAAAAAGAAAATACAAAACTTTCTTTTTTAACAAGATTTAAGAGGTTGTATGAATCACAGGTTACGCACGCGCATGCGCGTGGGGTTGTATTTGTTTCATGGAATTTTAAAAAAAAAAAAAATTTGAACCGAGGACCTTTACCTTACAGTGACACACCACCGTGTCAACACCTAAACTGTTGCGGCCTCCGTTGCCCGAAAAAAATATTAAAAAATCATTGAACACACAAACATTTTTTAAAAAAACTTACTTCGAAATTTGGCTTGCTTCCTTTGTAGCTGAACAATTTAAAATTTTCCGTTTTAAAGTGGCCCCTGAGTTTCTGCGTATTTTCCTCTTCCATCTGCACCTCTTCACAGCAGACATTGACAAGCCCAGACATGGTCAGGTTTGACAAGAGAGCTTTCTCTGATCTGAGGGTGAAAAAAATAAAACATGGTTACAATCAGGCATGGCAATTGAAAAGAAAAAAAACACAAAACATACTTGAGCGACTCATGGCCGTCGGAGACTGTCTCGTACAGGACGACCCGTCCATTGGGCTTTGCTATGTTGAGCAGGATGTCGAGGAACTCAAATGTATGGTCGACTGTCTGGAGTGGGACAAATCCAGATACAATCATGTCAAAATATGAATCTGGGTGGTCACCTAAAATAAATATACAAGCTGTTGATGACCAATAATGTAACATCCATACATTACTCAATAATGTAAAAATGCAGCAATAGCAATAATGATTACAAAATTGCTGTGTGCCACTGTTTTTATAAAAGTTAGGTCTATTAACAATACTATGATTAAAAAGTGAATTTAAAGTCTAAACTAGTCACATGATCAGTGTTTTGCCATTTTAAATCGAGACAATTGGAATGATTTTTATTCATATATGGTTACTGCTTGAAAATAAAGAACGTTTTTGGTGGATGAATTTAATTTCAATTCATTTTCATTTTATTAAAAAAATATTTTTCTTAATTTTAATATGTTTAATTTTGTATTTTTTATCTATTTGCATATGTAAAATCAATAGATGGACTCTAGTCCATTGTTATTATATTGATCTTTATTAGTAGTACCTTTTTACACATGTTGTACATCCTTCATTATTGCTTACTTGGTATGTCAGCGGAAATAAAAAACGGGAAAATATTTGGTACACCAATGAAATTTTAATAGTATCATAAATGGGTACTCATGGCACACGGCCACTTACTGGGTCTCTCTACACTCGCGGGTTGTTTATTTAGTTTTTCATATGTTTCAGCATTGCACAATCTTCAGTGAGGAATTGTCTGCCATTTTGTCAGTATGGTTTATATAGTACTGGGTCCATCGCTTGATTGCTGGGGTTGCGTTATGGGGCAAGGTTGTCGTGCTCATTGATCAATCGTGGAGGCGATTTCCGTTGTCAGTTATTATTTGTGCATTGTTGGGTTTTTTCTGGTGTTTGTTTCGATGTTGTGCTCTTCTGAACATTTTCATTTTTTGTTATGAAATGTTTTTAATGGTGTGAAGGTAGTGTGTGAATTTGAGTTTTTTTCTGTGTTTATAAGTTTTCTGTCTTTAAGTGTTTGTTTATACATCTCAAGATTCTCCAGTATGTTGCGTTTTCGTTTTTTTTGTGCGTTGTGTATTAATGCCATGATTGCTTCCATTGTGTTTGGTTCGTGTTTGTGGTGTATTAAGTGTGTGGCTTAATTTGATTCTCCGTCATTGTCTCTGAAGGATATAAGACGTTCTTTGAATCAATTTCTTAGTTTCCTTCTAGTATGCCCAATGTAAGTGTCTGCATTGACATGTGATGCTATTAAACACCGTTATTGTCTAGCGGGTTAGTTGTCCTTTGTTTCTTTTTAGCAGTTTACCTATGTTATTGTTAGTCCTTAGTGCTGTTTTCAGTCATAGTTTGTTGAACAAGTTCGTTAGTCTGTAGGTTTCTTTTCCTGTGTAGGTTGTCCGTCTGTTGTTGATTTGTTTTTCATTGTTTTTTATTAGTTTCTGGAAAGTGTTTGTTTTGTACCCATTTTTTATGCATGGTTGCATGCAACGTTCGTTATTATTTGTAGTTCTTTGTTGTAGTTTGTTACGTTCGTAAAATGTAACATTAATATGAGTGTATTGTTGTTGTTTGGCCGGGGGTGCCTCCTGAATTGTAGTGCCACCTGGGCTGAAGTTGGCGGTGGATTAATCAAATTAAGATGGCCTAGGATAGGCTTATGAGAGAGTAGGTGAGTGGATAAAAGGGAGGACAGTGTGCGTCGAGACGGATATCCCTACGGCCTGGCCAGATCAAAGAAAATCATCAATTCCTCAATCAATCAATGATCGCGGACCCACTCAACTTCAGAGAAGGTGCTCCACATTCCTAGAAGCGGGGATTTTCAATCGCCTGGAAAAGAAGCATATCTGAACACTGGTTCCCAGGAAAGTTTAGTTTTAAGGAATGTTTATTTAGCTTTTATGATAATTTAGGCTCATTTAGTGTGTAAGTTTGTTAAAATGTTACCTGTAGAGAATTAAAATTAATCAATGTTTAATATTTTAGTTTCCATTGGAATAAATGTGGTTTTTTTTGTTTCCTTATGTAAATATTGTGTTCTTTTTTTTAGTTAATTTTACTGTTATTGAATTTTCTTTTTCTTTTATTTTTTTTTTCTTTATGGTTCGCTGTTTCCGTGTATATAAACAGCGTGGCGCCCATTTTTTTTTTTTTTTTATTTAATATTAAGTTCATTATTCTTAATTCATTGAGTAACCCCGCCCGTCACCACGGAGCGAAGCCGGCAAATTCTCAGCGTAAGAAGTTTTCAGCGCTGAGTGTGACTGTTTTTAGTCTGTGTATGTATGTCTCATAGTGCTGTAAGTTTGTGTTGGTGTGGGTAGTTGGATCGTGAATTTATTATGTGATCTGTTTATTTGGAAGTCCATTTTATTAGGTGGCTAGGTTCTGACAAGTGTTAAGTCCGAGAAGTTGATGCTGTTTCTGTTCTCAGTTTCTACGGCCAACGTGATGTTTTAGTGTATTGTGTTACCGCCCTTGGCTAGTATGTCGTCAGTTGAGTTGAAAGAACTGCCCCAGCTGACTCTGCACTACGACTTCATATGAACCCGGCGCTTATTTTAAACTCTTATTAACTTATCTTAAATCTTTCGGCCTTTTCTATTCTGTAATCTTCTCTGTATGTTTTAAAGTAGATAAATCTTTTTTAAAAACGGCCTTTGGCGTTCCAAATTTATAACGTAACTAAATAGGTGGGAGAATTCCGTTTTTAGGCATTATTTTTGGGAAATGGTTCTCTTCAAGATTTCTAAACCCATCATCTACTACAATATGAGTACTGTTAAACTATTTTGTCAAAAGAAATATCAACAGAGACGTGTTCCTGTTGAGCAGACATGATTCACTGACGAGTCGCAACGATCTATCGCCGGGAGCGATTGATAAGCTGAGTCGCTCCAACAGATACGCCGCCGATAATTATCGGCGTTGAATCGCAATCGTGGTGTGCACTGGGTTCAGTTGCTTAGGCATGAAATATACGTAGTTAAGCGTAAGGGTGTCGAATTGCACATTGCATAATTTGTCGTGTCGTATAGTTGCATCGTTCCAGTGCGCACCGCGCTTTAATGATCGAAAAAGTCGGTCAATAAGTCACAATGACTAAGTATATTTTTTGGCGGGAAAATCAACACACGACACCATCTTGAGAAAGTTTTAGGCACAAAATGGCTTATTAAAATTCCAAGATAAAATAATCTTCGAGGGCGGATCGAACAAGTGAAAATCATTTAAATAATTTAATGATACATATTTATCTCTTTTAAAGAAAATAGTAACATTTCGCAATTCTTCAGGAAGGTTCAGTTCAGGTTGTTAACCTTTCAAAACGACACGCTTACGGCAAGCAAAGCAGAAACTTGTCGTTACTGATCCGTAATTCAAGTAATGAATTACTAAAATGAAATAAACGGGATTTAATTTAATTTTTAAACTGAAAGATTGCGGTTTATGAAACTTTTTTGTAGGTGAACCAGTTTTCGTAATAAAGTCGTGATGCGTAATTTAAAAAACAATGAAAAACGACTCAGGTTATTTCCTTAGGCTTGATTTTTTTTAAACCTATTTTCTTTTTGTTAAAAAAATATATCACTAACCGGTTTTAAGCCTGAGGGAGTTTTCGACTTTGACGAGGCCACCGTCTCCATCTACCTGCTTGCCGATCGCCTCGACGTACTCCTGGACGAGTGCCGGCTCCGCCTCGGGGCTCACGACGACCAAAACCTTTTCACCGCGGTTCAACTCGAAACTGGGCCGGCTCATTGTCTTTGTTCTTCTCAATATATTTTTTTTAAATATTTAATACTTATTTCAATGTTCTCCTGGGCTTGTGTCTGTCGGTCTGTGTGAACGATGAACAGTGGCTGACGAGAGGTATACGTTGATTCCGGTTTCCTCAAGTTTTTACAGTGCAGCCAACCCTTGACTCTAAAATATCCCTCCCTAACGACATTTTTTAAAACTATCATTGCGCCCCCTCCTTTTTTTCTGAAGTGGGCTCATTATCCCAAAATCCGCTGGATTATAAAAGAAATGTTAGAAAAAATTGTTAAAAAAATAGAAATTAACAGAAAAAATCGATCAAGCCGTCGAAAGTCTAAAAATGAGAAGCCTCTATAAACTTATATAAATTTCCCTAATTTCCAATAAACCACTGGTACTACAAAGGCGATGATAACCATGGATGTAACGAAAAATCCTCGAATTTCCAAATATTGAGGAATAGTTTTTTTTATTCAACAAAAAATAATATTAATCATCTACTAATATGACAAAGAATTTTTTAGTAAATAAATTTTCTTAGAGTACCATCGCATTATAAATATTAAATCTGAGGACCATCTTAGTTAGAGAAAGAAACTAAAATTATAAAATACTCTAAATAAATAAAACTTAGGCCTTTCGAGATTGGAAAGAAAAAAATTTAAAACAATTAAAATTAAATCATGATAAGGGTTAATGAAAATGAAATTACTCTGATAAAATAGGAATAGGATGGCACTCATTACTGTAAAGTAAAGGTCCCGAGTTCGAATCCGACCTACTTACAAATGGGCTTTTTTTTCAAAACCGGCATCCCGAGGGTTCATATAACCTCGGAGTTGAAATACCCTCGTAAAAAGAAGATGAAAGAAAAAAGTACAGGAGGGTCTCTTAGCAGAGGATGATAAGGATTACTATACAGGACGTTTTTCCTTATTTTTCTTCCAGCTAGGTGTGATGACAGGTGAATTCCCGTTTCTTCTTTATTCCTGGATCCTTATGACAAACAATTTTTCAATGCTTTTCTTCAATTTTTTTTTCTTTCAATTTCTTCTTCAATTTTTCAAATGCTAAATCGGTGGACCATCTGAGAGAAGCCTCGTGACTCTAAAAATAAAAAAAATAAAAAACTTTATTAAATTAACGCGTTAGCGTCACGAGGACCCGACTCGTAAAAGGGTCAACACTACTAGATCTTGATTACTGTTAATTTTTTTTTTTTTTTTTTTTTGGTTTGCCAAAAATGCCTAGGTTTCATTTATTTAGAGTCTTATTTACTTATAATTTTAGTTTCTTTCTTTCCGATTTAACATTTATAATGCGATGGTACTCCAAGAAAATTATGTATTAGAAAAATTCTTTGTCGTCAGGATCCAGGAATAAGGAAGAAACGAAAATTCACACGCCATCACGCCTAAGCCGGCTGGAAGAAAAAGAAAGAAAAACGTCCTGTATGGTAATCTTCGTCATCCTCTATCCAGAGACCTTTATATCCTTATTTTATGACTAATTTCATTTTCATTAACCCTTTTTGTCTAACTTGTTTTAAATTTCTTTCCTCTCCAATCTCTAAAAGCCTATGCTTTATTTATTTAGCCTTTTTTAGTTATAATTTTAGTTAAGTTCGGAAATCAACCAAGTACCATTATTATTAATAATATTACATTATATAAATAAAATTTAACTTTTGTTGGTTTATTATTTTTAACTATTATTTTAAAGGTACATTTATTTGAGAGGGTTGGCCACCTTGACTGGTTATTATCAACCTCCCTGGACCTGTAACCTGACACTGTCCGGCCTCGAAGATAAGCGAAGATTTTTCGGGCCGTTCTTCTATTTTTCCCCTACGGGTCCAATTCTCACATTTTCTTCTTCGGAATCAGAAGAAAAACCGCGACAATGTCATTGACTACTTCGTCAAACGGGAACGGCCTCCTCCTCTACCTGCACAAGTACTCGTTTTACGCCCAGAAGGTAATTAATTTTTTTTTATTAATTAAGACATTTAGTGAAAAAAAATTGATCGATAACCTTCGCGGTCTCTTGTCGATTTTCTTTTTCATTTAGTGTTGTTTTTAAAAGAATTGCTCTTCCGAAAGGAAGAAATTGGAGGTTGGATGACTTTGCTTTTTTCCCATCGTGTAATCCATCGAATGACAAACCACATCCCAACTGGTTGCTAATTCGATAGATTAAATACTGCCAATTGAAAGATTTCTTTTAAAAAGAAAGAAATTTTATGTTACTCGATTCACAAGCATACTTTTATGCATACTCAATCTTTTTATAGTATGGAGGATTTCGATAAAAATTTCATCGTATCGCACTACAGGAAGGTTATAAATGAGGATAGTGATGTCAACCTGGGTCTCGGACATATAAGAGGTGACAGCGTTTAATAACGTTAAGAACATTACATGATGTATATTACATATTGGGTTGTCCGGAAAATAATGCAGGATTTTGGTATTAAACAAAAAAAAAGAAACTAGTTACTTTAAAGCAATGTTCTTTAATCAAAATAATNTACAAATGAGTAATCCTGTAAACGTAAACAGAATATTTTATATAGATTTTTTTTAATGAAAACTTAAAATCCTGCATTATTTTCCGGACAACCCGATATATACATGTTTATTTGCTATTTTTCTAACTTGGTTCAATTACATTGTTCAATTGTTATTGCGTCCGATCTGCCTGCTTGACCTTGCAGTTTTTGCCCTTTTCACTAAATCAATAAATATTGACAAAAATACATTTTATTATTGTGCGTTGATGAATTTTTCTTATATTATTTAAGCTGATTAGAGGTCAAATTTTGATCATACAGAATAGTAGGTAAAGTATGATATGGTAAGTTATCAGTGATGGTCGGTTTTTTTGTGCGAAACTTTTGAGCCATGTTGACTTTGTTACTGTCCTTTCGTAAGGTGTGAATACGGCGTAGAAAGGGTTTTTCTCGCAGTTTGTGTTCCACGAGTTGATACCTAGGACGACGCCCTCGCAGATGATGGGCGCGCCGCTGAATTCAATGCACGGCTTGTTTCCAAAATGGAATCCGCCGCATACGATCTTGTTCTTGATCGTGCAGAACTTTTCTTCCTGCTTGCACAGCTTTTCCTTGCATGCACTGTCCGTTAACAAGTGTATGTAGATGAGCTTCTGAGACGGGTTGTCGATAATGTTGAGGTCCGTGTCGTCATCCCATATGACGCTTTGGCACGTCCTATTCTCCTCGGCGAGCTTTACGAGCCTGTACGACAAATATTCGCTGAAGAAGAAATTTGTTGCCTTCACCTCGCCCGTGTTGTTCATGAGAGGTGTGAGTGACACATGACTGTTTAGTATGAACCTGGAATCGCTTTTGAGGATGACATACCCACTGTACCACTTCACCTTCCAAGAGCACGCGACATCAAAATTGTCGATGAATTTTATCTGCCTGAACTGGTACGTGTCGTCTTCTACATTCGGGTTGAGGCTATTTGTGCCCGCCACTATGGCCCAACCTTCATAAACATTGTGCTCATTCAACGGTGCCTTTTGAATGGCTTCGCCGCAACTGCAGCTCGTGATGTGGTGTAATTCTGTGATGAGGTACCCTCCGAATACTTCTTCGATCTTCGGCCCTTGGACGCTGATTATATAAGGGAACTCGTCCTTCGCCACATCTCTTATCCCATTGAACTCCAGCGTTATACATTTTGACAAATTCAACAAAGTGGCTGTTATTAAAATCCAATACAATTTCATAATAAAACACTATCAAACACATGATTTTTACCAGAGAAAGGATGATTTTTTTATTAAAAAAAAAAAAATATTTTCGAAAAGAAAATTCTATAAAATACTTTAATGAACATATTGCTATGCATTAACATTATATTTGAGTTATATTACCCATTACCCTCACAATTTATTATAGTAATTATTCGGAGATCGTGAGATGCGGTTTGGACGTAGGTTGTAGAAAAATATTTTTTTATTGTGCCAACGTTTTGATCTTTATTGAGATCATCTTTAGGGCTCAAAGTGTTTGTTTTACGTGTAGATGTGTCATTCTTGTGCACTCTCAGCACGACTCACAAGAATGACATCTACACGGAAAACAAACACTTGGAGCCCTGACAATGAACTCAAAAAAGATGGAAACGGCACGATTAAGAAAATGTCTTTCTAAAACCTACTTCACACCAGACCGCATCTCACGATCTCTGAATAATCATTGACTAACGGTCACTAAACACAACACACTGTATTATAGTATTTTTTTAATGTTAAACAACATTACCAGCAATTGACTAATTTAATTAATTATTTTTAAAATAACCTTGGAACCTTCTATGGAAGGCCATAGTATTTTTAATCACAATATTCCTGATGATAATGCCATCTTGTGCACCGCTCCCTTTCCTCTCTTCGGCCCAGAATACAACACCGAATTAGTCAAAACAGCCTGGTTTGAGGTAATTTGGGATCGTCATTTTAGTATAGGTTCGAGTGGAGATACACCGGCCAAATCAAACATTTTGCTTGCTTCAATCTACTCCAAGCATAATTCCCTGGTATTGTTTCATAAGTCCCAGTTTGCTTTGAACATTACCAACAACAGATACATGTAATATGCATTTGTTTAACTCTCATGCCTCTATCTTTGAAAAAATGGCACTTGGTGCTATTGATAAGATTGCAGACCCATTGATCCAGAACAAAGCCAAACAAGCCAGAAAACCCACATGGAATTTCATACATGTTTAATTCTAGACATAGAGAAATTGTCAGAGGGAGGAAGCAAAAATTTAAACAGTTTTAAATGAATTAGCCAGCTAGAAGAGCAAGAAATGCATTACATGACCCTTTCAAATAATCCAAGAAAAAGCACCACTTCATCAAAAGCCTTGCCAAATTATGGTGCCAGTACATCGAAATATTTATGATTGACAAATATATAATATTGTAACTTGTCACATAATCAGACTGCACACCAAAAAGGAATCTTCACTGTGACAGTTCACAAATGACTAAATATGTTTTGCCTGCAGTGTGGTTTGATATTCCGGTCATATTCAGTCACAATGAAACATTTTACTTCAGTTTGCTTAAACAAAAATGGCTGATCTGATGTGTTTTGGGCCTTAAGGAAATAATCCGCCATCATTCTCATTCCTAACATTATATCCCTCCTAATCTTTTCACTCTTTTTCCCATGATAACAAAAATCCTTGAAAGACTCCTTTTTAGCATATATCACAGATTCCCATAAAATCATAACTCCTCACCAATTCGGATTCTGTCTTTGACATTCCACGATCAGGCAAGTTTCATTCTTTGACAGACCATTTACTCCAGTCTGGAGAACAAGAAGTATTGCTTGGGTGTGTTCAATGTAGCACAGCCTTTCAAGGTCTGGCACTCAGCATCCTTCTATAACCTTAAACGATTTTTACATTCTTGGCATACCTGAATATGATGATAATTGATAGACAAATCACCGGCCACTGAATAAATAAAGGAAGCATGTCTGACCAATAAAAACCAGTCAGAAGAGGTGGACCAGGACATTACAACACAATATCTCATGAAATATTTTTCGTACCTTATAAGTTAATTAAATTAGGAAATTTAAAAAAAGCCTGAAAATTCTGATAGATGAAACAATCGATGAAGTAAATTAGGAAATGCACAACTGCACTAGTGAAAGTAGGTGAACCAGAAACGCTAGAGATGATTGAAAAACATTTAGAGTTCAGTTCAAACCCATGTAGCAATAAAAATTCCCATAAATATAATTTACTCGGCACGTTTACAATTGTAAATTAGTTGTCCAGTTGTTCGTCATTCCAAAATCTTATGACTTCTATTCAATTTAGATACTTACAACTATACCTAGACAGCAGACTGATGTGGAAACCTCACACAAGACTTAAGTGACAACAACGGAAGACTTGGACAGCTACAAATTTTTTTTAAGGAAATCATCAAAACTCTACTAACTCTGTACAAGGCGTTTTGACCATTTTGGACTCATGGAGCAGAACTGGGTTTCCGCCAAGCTAGCTAATCTCCAGAGCTTCCAATCAAAAGTCCTCAGACACTTGCTATCCACAATGATCGCCTTGTGACCTTGGTTTTCCAGTGTCCTCTGCAGTGCTTTTAATCTGGGGGGTGATGAACCATAATTTTTTTACAGCTGTTCATTTTGATCTATCTTCACTTGTTAGGTTTGTCAGATGTATTTCGACGTTTTGCCAATCTAATTATTGTTTTTATTTTATAATCCTAACCAAGTTTTGATTATGCATACATTTTTATTACATTTTTCACATAGTTTTGGGGGATTTTCTTTTTAGGTCACACTCGCCCTCCATGAGAAGAAGCTTCCCTTCAAGAGTGTGGTCATCGATATAACAAAGGGCGAACAGTATGACCCCGAGTTTCTCAAGATCAACCCACGTGGTGAGGTCCCAGCGTTGAGGGATGGAGTCAAAGTCATCCCGGATTCGGCCAGAATCATAGATTACCTTGAGGACAACTTCACAAACAGTAATAATTAGCGAGTAGTTAACACATTTTACATAATGCTTAGTCAATTGGCTGTCAAGGTTCATTAACGCCAAGTCGAAGAGAAAAATAATTCTATTTAATTTATTTGTGAACGTTTCAATTTCAATATTAAATTTTAGATGAACATCCGAGGTTAACGCCAGTGGACAGTGCCGAAAGGCAGAAGATGAAGCAGATGCGCGAGTTGATCGACCGGATCCCGGCTAATTCGGTGACGATGGGATCGTTCTACCACACGGAGGACGTGTGCGGTCCCAAGCTGCCGTTCATTAGGCCTATCCGGTTGTTCATGAAAGGTGAGTCATCCTCGTAATCCGTCAAGCACAGATACATTACCTCCTGTCTTCAGCCGGGTTTGAAAAGACTTCAACGAAGCTGCGCAAGCTCGCCGAGGCCCAGCCTGAATACAGGGACGTACTTCTGCAGAAGGCGCAGGAGCACGATTTGACCTATGCGACGGTGACGAACAAGGAGAAATTCAAGGACCTACTCTCGACAGTCGACGACACCCTCGACAAAGTTGAAGAACAGTTGGAATCACAAAAAGGTACTTTGTACATTTTGTATAAATTATGATTTTTCTTCTCATTTGAAATAAATCAAGTCCGGTTTGATTAAACATGGTCATCAATCATGGTAACATAGTACGCTCACTTTCTTTGGCACCACCTTGAAAACTTGCTGAAAAATAAAATTCCTTTGATGTTAATAATCATGATGCTCACTGGGTTGTGGTCTACTGTTGAATAGTAAATAACAATTTGTTAACAGAAATCTTTGAATTATCAATCTTAAAAAAATCCCATGTGTTTTTTTTATTTAATGTTTAGTTAAACTAGTGCTTAGGTTTTTATTTTTATTTTATTTTTTTTTAAAGTAGTTTTCAATTTTTTTTTTTTTTTAACATGGCTCTAAATTCTTGGTGTGTAGTATGTGTGGCTGTTTTGGAATGGTCTCAAAGGTAGCATGGAAATCGTTTGGCTTTTAATACAGGTCATTATACTTTTTAAGAACAAATTCTTGGAGATGGGCCCAATCGAGGGCAGGTCAATACTGACAATTGCCAAAAAGCTAGCTTCGGTCAACAAAATATTGCAAAATGTCGAAAACAAAAACATCGTGGGTAGAGGCGAGGCTGCACTTGTCCATAAAGTACAACAGTTGATAAAGAGCGTTGAAGCGGATGGGCCGATTGGTCTGCCTCATTTCAATGCTCTTCTTGCAGTCCTCGGTAAACCCCTGCGTGTGCTTGATCCGCACGGTAACACCCAGTTCCAACTCGGAAAGAGTCTGTACAAAGACGAGATCCAGTTAAAATATGTCCCGGGTGATATTACCGGCCATTGGGAGTCTCCATCTTGGATAGCAAAATCACAAAATAAAACGACACATAAGAACAATTGTATTTTTGAAGCTATTGTAGAACAGTTGGGCCAAGGGGATGTAGATAATTTAAGAAAGATGACTTTTAATAAACTATGCAAAAATTCTTCCAACCTGACGAATATAATCGAAGAGATTTTGTTCCTTGAGGAGTACGATGTTACCTCTTTGATGTATGGCGGGGCAAAGTATAATGGCAGGACACCCGACGATGCAGGTCAAATATTGGACCAGAGCCAGGGCAACTACCCTCACGGGGGTAAGAACATGGGCCACCCTCGTGCCCATGTGTCCAACCCACACGGTGATGGTGTAGAACAATATTCGTTGCCTTTCCCCGTTTCGAAGCATAAATCTGGCTTTTTCACCGTCGAGGACCAGAACAGGGCGGTGCACAGTGCTCTCAAATCGAATGAGGGTATACAGGCCATGAAGAGGCTCAATGACGGTTCAGTCAAGGACGATTTTGATCACAATATCCGTGGCCTCAACCTCAAAATGGGCAAGTGGGCTCGTGGCGAGATGTTCGAGGAGTCAGATGCCAACAACACGAAAGTCGTCATCATGCATAAACAGGGCCAAGCCAAGAATCCAGACGCAGATGTTTTCATACTCACATGCTATCCCACACATTAAACACAAAAGACAAACACCTTCTTCTGTGGTTATTTGTCACAATTGTGAGACAAGTCATGTTCCACAAAGCGATGAACCTTGAAGCTTTATCATCTCAGATCATCAGCAACACCAACTGGCGGGCCAGGATGATCAGAGATGATCAAGCTACAATTTTTTTTTTTTTTTTTTTTTTTTTTTTTTTTTTTTTTTTTTTAAATACTAGGAACTGTAGGAGTTCCCTCTTAGCACTGCACGTCTACACATCTTACTGTACTTCTTCCTAGCTCTATTTTTGTGGGCTCACGGCTCGCAACACGTGTGTGAATTGAGCCCTCGGTGTGCTGGTGTTCTTCCATTGAAAAAACTCATTTTTAAAGGGGCTGGGACCAAATTCAGTGCCACTGGGATCTGATCCAGCCCTAGACCTATTGATGAATGCCCTGACAATTTTCATTGCGACTACTGGTCCTCTTAGGCATAAAAAAAACCCAGAGGCAATGGTGGGAATCAAACCCATGACATGGGATCTACTGGCCGAGAGTCTCACACCTTAACCATTCGGCTACCTCGGTTCCCCAAGATTTGACCTTAGTATTATAGATGTTTGGATGTTTTATTTATGGTTATTAACATGCTCATTCAATGAGAAGTAATTAATTATTTTTTAAATCTTTATAAATTTACAGATCACTTATTATTTATTTATTAAATAAATAAGCAAAACGTTAAATTTAAGGTTAATGTGTAGAGATCAGTGACTGTTAATCGATAGTTATTCAGATATTGTGAGATGCGGTCGGTTTAAGGTTAATTTCATAAATGGGACAACCTAACTGATTAAGTAATAGTTTATCCAAAATGCAGTGGAGAAAATTGTAGGTGAAGAAATTAAGGATAATCATCTTGTATAAAAATTCCCTCTGTGACCATAAACCCTTGCCACATAAAAACGCTTACAACTTCCAAAATGTTGAGACTACAATAAATCCAATTACACCATTTGAAAGAGTGCTAAATTTGCTGTAAGATACTTCTATTTGCAACAATCTGAATGACATAAAATGTTAGCCAATATCAGTTGGAACATGTCAAAATTAGAAAAATTTGTATGTAGTAAGATAGTGAAAAGCTGAAACAACCTAAATTTATGAATATCTTCAAAATAGAGAACTTTCTGAAAATTTTCTCCTGAGCATTTTTTGCTCCAAACCAAGAGTAGAATCGATTCCCTGAGTTTCGTCAGAAGGAACTGGGACACCCTGTATACGAAAAAGGCAAATCCACAAAGACTGCCCTAAATAAATTAGTAGAACGTATTTCATCATTGGAGATTAAAGAAATATCACTCTGCTGCTTCATGGCTATAACACCTCTTATAAATCCATTAGAATGTCTGTGCAAGGAAAAGGTAATAGACTCACCGACTACCAACAGGATATTACCAATACTAACGTCGGAAAATAAGCGCTGAAGTTGGTCACGAGGCTATACAAATAGCACCTATCCAAGGAGGGGGGAAAATTCTGGAAAGAATTAAAATAAATGAGATGACTATAAAACAGTACCTGAAAAAAATGAGAAAAACTTTGACGCACCCTTCCAAGTGGAACCTACTTTCGACAAGTTGGCACGCTTCTGCAAGTCCTGTGGTTCGGAGCTCTATCCCCTTCTCTTCCGTAAATACTGGCGTGTTCTAGCAGTTTGCTTATTAATTAGATTCCGCTGCAATATATATATGCATAAATACATATATATAGTAAAGACTTTTATTTACATATACATATCATAAAATAAATTATAACGTCCTGCGAATTTTGTTCATAAAAGACATATGCAATGCCATCTGAGGTGTTGTTAGTTTAAGAACAGTAAATTAAATAATTACATTAAAGAAAAAAGTATGAAACATCCGCTACAAAAGTACAAAATAAAACAAATAAGCTAATAAATAAGCAACTACTTTCCATATAATGTTAACAATAAAAAAAAGTATATATGAGCATTACTCAATAATATTTGACTAATTCGTGAGCGCATAAATATCAACAATTACTGCAAATATCAACCATTTCTATTCTTAAAGCCCATGCTCGCTGTAGTTTCCATTTAGATATTCAATGAACTATTGTTCAGAGAAAGTTTGTGCACTTTTAACACTAAGCCTTATGCGTCCATTAGAAACTGCTTCCGTCCGTACAATTTAATTTCTGTTCATTTTTTTTAAGTCCTCTGGGAAATCTGTTTTCTACTCCATGGTCAGCAGACGATGATTCACCGGACAATTTTATATTATGCAAATTATGCCTTTTTATGAAATTTTCGACCCAACCTTTGCTAATCTGGAAGTCAAACAACAATGCAGAATCTTTGTTAATTTTAAATAATTCAAATAATTTTTAAACTTTGTCTCTTATCAGTGAAGAACACACTTCTGGGACATATCCTTAAATTTTTTTTTCTAACCATCCCTAACCTGCGACCGACATTATCATGTTCTCCTATTTCGGTAAAGAGGGGGAAAAACATTGAATCATAGTGGGGGATGTTGATTTTTCTTAAAAAAATATTCGTTCAACTTATAGAACCAGTTAGGGATTTCTAAAAAAGCAATTTAAAAAAGCTTGAAATTTTTTTGGTCGCGCGAATGATCAAATACATAGGTCAAGAATGTGAAATTTATTCTCGCAACAAGTGAATGTCACGAATGTCAATTCTGCGATTGTTGACGGATTACTGTACACATATTTCAGGTTTTTGTCAATAAGAAAAATACAATGTACGGTAATATACATAAAATTTAGTCCACACAGGAAAACTACAAACATTAACAGCTATACACCTATGCATGATATCGAAACAAATGAGAAAAAATCATTAGAGTCTAAAAAAGATAAAACAAATTAAATTCAACAGGTAGAATTAGACGGTGTTGAATCAGTGAAGTTTGCTCTTTCAGCTTTCTCAAAGAACATTGTTATAGGGGCTGGTTTGTCAGTTGCTGGAGAGAGAGTCTATTGCTTGAGTTAGCAATCGTGTTAATTGAATCATATTCCATAATTTTGTCTTTCTACTTTTGAGCTAATAGAATTTTTTTTTCTGTTGTTCATTCCTGCTTTTCTTCTTCATTCATTTTATTCTCTTCTTCATACCCTTCTTTGGTCGATTGGATGAGTTCTTCTCATTCTTAATTGGTGAGCTGTCAACCACGTATAAGTGAAAGTGTTGATGAGATTCTATTGTACTGGATTTATCTCTATGTACCTGCCTAGCAAATTGAAGGTATATGCGAATAACTGCATAAGTGGTGGCACAATAATCGACACCTACCCAAATTTGTGCTAAAAACTAGATAAGTCTTGGTGCATAATCTGATAAGTAGTAAAAGTCAAGATTTAATTAAATTAATTACAAAGCCTATTAACTAGGACAACTACATTGGATTTGATGAAATATGAACACAAAAACTGAATCTGTGCCAAAAGTTTAAATTTTAAAATTGCAATCCTGAAAAATTATGTTTTTTTGATGTTGTGTTTTTATATTTAGTTTACGGTAGGATTTTGTACTTAGTTTTGGTGCAACTAATGGCTGATATATGTAATTTGGCAACTTTTGGGAATTATTTTTTTTTTTTCACAGACAAACAAGGATGGCTGATCAACAAGGATTTCACAGTGGCTGACGTCGCTCTCACAACACTCCTATACAGGCTCGATGTAATCGGGATGTCTCACCGGTTTTTCCATGACAGGCCGCAAGTGTCTGCATACCTGGGACGTGTTGCGAACCGAGATTCGTACAAGGCGACGTTCCCGGGCCTCTTTTACCACTTCAAGGCTCTTTTAGGCTTCAAGGTACTCGGAGCTTCGATTGCGTTTTGCGCTGGTCTATTAATCGCCGGATATTATGTCTGGCGCAGGAAGAACTGACGCCCCTCCGTCCCCCCTGTGAAACCGATCTCTTTTGTAAATAATTTGTAGATGATCCCTTATGAATTATGATGTTTAAATAACAATTTCCATTTTTTATGGAAGATGTAAATGTTTATTTTTTGTTTTAGTAGTTTATTTTGTAGTTTTAATTCAGCTTTTTTTTTTCTGCCCCTCGGATGATATATATTCGTGTACAAACTCAGGGATATATTTTCAAGCATTTTATTGCGTAATAAGTCTTCCATCGTAATGACTGAATATGTGATCTTTTTATTTTTGTAAAAATTGTGCTTGAAAATGAGGTTTCCTTTTAAAAAAATTTCATTCCTTGTTTTATTATTTGTTTCCCCCTCCCGCTGTAAGAGATTGGTGAATTTTTGCACGTACAAACCCCCTGCCTTGTCCAGTGCCTTAATAAATAAACAAATATATAAAACTATTATAGAAAATTTATCAATAAAACGCTCATTTTGGTTTATTTTGTTGTAGTAAAAAATGGAAAATGAGGACAGGTGACTCTGGGCCAGAGGTCTTCTATGGATTTTTATATAGATATATACGCTTAAAAAAATTGTTTAAAGCAAATAAACAGAAAATACGCACCCTGTAGATAAAACATTTTGTTTATTTCAGACTATGCGTCTTTCATGTATTTTCTTTGGGTAGGATGTTTTTCTTGTTCATCAGGTTTTTCTAGCGTCTCCCTACGCACCTTGGGAGTGTTTTATCGTTGTGTAATTATAAATAATTAAACAAGGTCAATAAAATTGTCTGATTAGTTAGAAATAGTTCGTTTTATTATCCTTGTTTTGCATTGACTTTATTGACGGGAAATGTCAATAATTGATCTCTTACTCTTTCATCTATCCTAAGTTTTATTATGTATCTTTAAAAAAATTGATTTTTACGATTATTCCATGGTAATATTCACCATGATTTTTTTTTTTTTTTTTTTTTTTTTTTTTTTTTTTTTTTTTTTTTTTTTTATATGAACTTGCATATTAGCCAGAGTACATATTTGTTTCATCATATATGTATATATCTGTAATTGGGAGGAAGGGTAGCGTGAAAAAATGCCAGGGCGATAGTGGGAATTGAACCTACAACCACAGGGTCTATCACGTCAATCACTCTGCTACTCTGGTTCCCCCACCATGAATGTATTCAAATATTGTTAATTATTGTTTTTCAAAGAAGGCAGTTTGGACATAACCAAAGAAAACAATTTATTTGCATTGTCTTAATTTTACAAGTTAGAAAACATTAGGTCTAGAAAATGATTTGTGAATGAACTTTTCGATGGACCGAACTTTTCGATGTTCATAGTTTGGAGTTTTATTGATGACCCATGAACTCGTTGATGAGGTTTCTTTAGACAGTGATCCATCATAATACAACGAATATGATGATAAAAACAAGAAGACAACATATACATCTGCAATTGAACAAAATCGCAATCAAAAACAAGTATTTGAGACAAAAAACATAAAATACAAAAACAAAGAAATTCAAGAACACACTAAACACACAGTATGATAACATATACAATAATATATTGAAAATTGTATATACACCTATAATTGAATGAAATCACAAAAAAAAACAAGAATTAAGACAATCCTAACTGAATAAATCCAACAAAACAAAGGAATTAACATACAACTGTAAAACACAATATATAATTTTTTTAAAAATTGAACAATAATTAAGATTAGAAGTAAACTACAATCTTAATTATTTACACATATAATATACAAATTTTCCATAAAGTTAGGAACATATTACAATAAATAATTAAAAGTATAAATAAACGATAAAAATCATTTGGTATGATGTATAAATTTTGCGTAGATACGATTAAGCCATCAATTGTAAATGATAACATTTCCAAGATTCATCATGCATTTATTGACCTTCACAACCACTTTTTAATTTTGATTGCTTATGGGTATATTTTGGGTCCAATACTGGTTCCTTTTTCAAGGCTTATAGGCTGGAATATAGGCAATAAAAAGTAAATAGAAAAAAAGAGGTTCAGTCCCCCCACCATGTGATGAATTAAAATTAGTACACAACATCCAAAATAAAGTGAAAAGGCGTTTCATTCCAAGGAATTAAAATGAATTGTAATATTTTGTATCCTAGGTAAGTCTGGTACTGGTTTATTTCCATGGTAGACAATAATTGCTTGTATTTTTATAGGAGTAATTTTGAAGAAATTATGCTTACTTCACTCAGCTATAGATGACATTTAAAATTATTAATGGAAAGAATTATTAGGCTACATAGTAGCATGTAGGTGAAATAAATGAAGAACATATCATTGAAGTACTTGGAAAATTAAAGAGGGCCCAAGATGGGCTATTGCAAAACGAATACGTTCTTCATTAGTTGGACAGTGCTCTCTGAGAAGATAAAATAAAAAATACCATATATTGGAATAAGGTGATCAAATGTTTCAAAACACCGATCAGATCTACTTATTATTTGCATCTAAAGATGATAATTAAATGTAAAGACTGCTTTTGCATTTTTTGTGCAACTCCATATTTGTTGATATATTTAAATAAATAATTCCCTGTGTGCATTAACATTGACGGCTATTAACCATGATGGCCGATCTGGATTTGTGGAGGATCACCAGAGTTTTTCTGTTCGAATTCGCCTGGGCGTCTTTCTTCTCGACTAACCAGTTCTTGTACGCCTGCTTTGACGTACATGGGATTATAGACTAATCAGTTTGTTCACGCCGACTTTGACGTACGTGGGACCATAGACTAACCAGTTTATTCACGCCGACTTTGACGTACATGGACCATAGATTAACCAGTCCGTCCACACCCAATTTGACGTACAACGGACCATAGACTAACCAGTTCGTTCACCCAGGTTGACGTCATAGGCCAATAGATTACCAAGTTGGTTCACGCCCACTTTGACGTACATGGAACCATTGACTAACCAGTCCGCTTACACCCACTTTGACGTCATTGGACAATAGGCTAATCAGTTTGTTCACGCCGACTTTGACGTTCATGGGACCATAGACTAACCAGTTTGTTCACGCCGACTTTGACCTTCATGGGACCATAGACTAATCAGTTTGTTCACGCCGACTTTGACGTACATGGAACCATTGACTAACCAGTCCGCTTACACCCACTTTGACGTCATTGGACAATAGGCTAATCAGTTTGTTCACGCCGACTTTGACGTTCATGGGACCATAGACTAACCAGTTTGTTCACGCCGACTTTGACGTTCATGGGACCATAGACTAACCAGTTTGTTCACGCCCACTTTGACGTACATGGGACCATTGACTAACCAGTCCGCTCAGTTTGTTCACGCCGACTTTGACGTTCATGGGACCATAGACTAACCAGTTTGTTCACGCCGACTTTGACCTTCATGGGACCATAGACTAATCAGTTTGTTCACGCCGACTTTGACGTACATGGAACCATTGACTAACCAGTCCGCTTACACCCACTTTGACGTCATTGGACAATAGGCTAACCAGTCCGCTCCCACCCACTTTGACGTCATTGGACAATAGGCTAATCAGTTTGTTCACGCCGACTTTGATGTACATGGGACTATAGACTAACCAGTCCGCTCACACCCACTTTGACGTACATGGGAACAGACTAACCAGTTTGTTCACGCGACTTTGACGTACGTGGGACCACAGTCTAACCAGTTAGTTCTCGCCTACTAGAATGTGTATTGAACCATAGACTAACCAACGAAGTCATACCTATATCGACATCATTGGACAATACATTAACATGTGTAAGATGTGGACGAAAAAGATCCACATTGTCTTTCGGCACAAAGTGACTTCCAGGGAACAAATACCCATCTAACTAGGCCTTTTTTGAATTTCACTCGTTTGGGCTGACCGAATTATCTTTGCATGTCAGGAGACTAGTATTTTTTTACGTGTACTCGGTTTTAATAGGTTTGACTGCATCCAGGAAGGAGATGGAGGACATACGCCTCTGCCTCTCCGATGATATTTAGGGCAAAGCGGCAGAGAAATTAAAACGAGATTTAAAGAACACTTGCCTAAATCGAACAAATTTTCTGAATTTAACGACCATCTAAATGAAACAAAAACATTTTCAATTTAACTTTACAAACAACTGTTACACGGTGTCTCTGAAGGGAGGGACTTGATTGGTTTGAGAAATTGGAAATAAAAAAAAAATTAAAATTAAGTGGAGATAAAGGCATAAATAATGTAATAGATTTTGATTTATATCCTGTTTTAAACATGTACCTAAATAATATATGATATACAAATTAATCCCTATTTTACAATTATTTTCTTCCAGTTTTTATTACGGTAATGCTAGTTATGTAATTCATGTTTTTCGTACGTTCAAATTTGGGCAGAATTAAAACCAGTTTCTCATTGTCTCAGTCCAGAGACGTGTTTGTATTTCCTTCTACCTGATGATGAGCTTGCTTGGAATCTGGATCTTGTAAACGACAAAATTGTGTAAGTAGAACCATCATTTACAAAAAATGAAAAAAGGACATCATTGCCGCCTTGCTTCCTAACTGAGAATCAATTTGACTATATACAAGGTTATTCAACAGTATACAATATTTGTATTTTAACTAATATTATTAATTTCAAATTTCTCCAAAAGGGACAAAAACCTGTATTGCTTTTTTATAGAGTTTCATTTACTATTAATCATAACCGGTTAATGTTAAAACAATAATAAATATTTCGTGTAAATTTATCAGCATTTTGAAAAAATTGTATTTCGCGGTTTGTTCCTCTGTAAGAGGTAAAAATGACATTTCTCAATTTTTTCCAGTACTGGTAAGGCAAGGCTGCCTTTTAAGCCCCATACTTTTTTATTTGTACTTAAACGATTGGCCATTGATCCTTGAAGGAAGAGTTATGGGCGGAAACACAAAACACTATTTGCAGATGTGCTTACAGCAGACAACCCAGTTGTTCTCCAATTGAATATTAACATGCTGGAAAAATATTGTGAAAACTGATCTAACTCTGAACTTAAAAAAATCTAATGTGATGATCTTCAGAAAAGGTGGTAGGCTGAAGTCAACCGAGAAATGGTTTTATAGAGGTTGTTAAAACATAGAAATATTTGGGAGTCACTGTGACACCTCGATTATCGTTTAATCATCACCTCAATGAAAAGGTTTCTAGGGCTAAGCTGGGTCTGAGCGGAATCTGGTCAATGTTTTTCTCACAAATAAGCCTTTTCTATAAAAATATCGGTTTATAATAGTATGTTACGACCAATAATTTGTTATGCAGTTCAAATTTGGGGCTATGAGGTTTTGAAAAGGTTTCAAAGGTATTTCATAAAAAAATTATTTTCTCTGCTTACAAACCCTCCTACTTTCTTGAAGAAGGAAGCAAATTCACTTGTTACTGCCAAGCTTTCGATCTAGTTTAAGGTAATCATCAGAGCAAAATTATCTTAAATATGTGTACAGATTGACATAGCTATGCAATCTGAGCACTTTCTTCTATATATAACCCTTTTGGAGATAGATAATTCAGTGTTTTTGTGTGACTCTGAATTGAATCTTTGTCAATTCAGGTGTTTGTTCAAGCTGAGAGGGGAATACTATTTCCCAGTTGCCCTGGTTAAGGAAGGATCCTCCCAGGGAAAGAAGTTCCATGTGCAATTTGAAGGCCATGGAGGATCTTCATAATTTCCTTTGTGAATGTCCTGTGCTAGTCGAATTTCTCCAGCTCTGCAAAGGAAGTAGCTCTCTGGGTCCAGCAATTGACAGAGATTTGACAAGCCTTCGCTCTGTAAACCTTTAATTACTTTTGCGAGAAAGGCCTGGGAATAGAGGCTTAATAAGGGAGTTTATTTACAAATTTTGCTGTCTATAGTTAAATTAGTATAATTTTTTTAGGTCCTAAATGAGGTGCTGTTCTTGTCGCATATTGGTGTTGTGGTCACAACAATTTCACACATCAATATGACACCACAAGAAAAGCACGACATTTTATGCCCTGAAGATGACCGGAATAAAGGTCGAAACATTGGCAAAAAATTTGAAAAAGGTGTTTTTCTAAACTACCTCATTCTTGACCACTCCTCACGAACCCAACAAATTGGTATATATTATTAGTTTTTGTTTTAAATATTATTTCCTAATCTCAAATTAAGTATTATTAGATGGAAAAAACTACGATTTTTAATTTAGATTATTTATGCATTTATTACGTTAATAATGTGTGGTGGTTAGTGACCGTTAATCGATAATTATTCAGAAATCGTAAGATGCGGTCTGGTGTGATGTAGATTTCAGAAAAACATTTTCTTTATCGTGCCAACGTTTCGATCTTTATTGAGATCATCTTCAGGGCCTGGAATTTACAAACATCGTTTAAATTTAACAAATTCACTTTTTTCCACATCCTACAAGTATTTGTTAAGTTTAAACGATGTTTGTAAATTCCAGGCCCTGAAGATGATCTCAATAAAGATCGAAACGTTGGCACGATAAAGAAAATGTTTTTCTGAAACCTACATCACACCAAACCGCATCTCACGATTTCTGAATAATTATGTTAATAATAATGTTAATTCCCTAGTTTCGCGGTCCGCTTGACCAATTAATATATTTCAATTAATCCAGGTTTTAAGTTGAGATAAAAAAGTCAGTGTCACGAGCGGGATTCGAACCCACGATCTTCGGCTAGATACGCCGCTGCTCTACCACTTGAGCTATCGTGACCTCAATCCACTCGGACACTAACTTCCCATCTCAACCCCACCTTTTTAAATTTTCCCTCCTTTTTGCCATTTTTGCCATGCTTAAAATTTATTGTAAATATATTGCAAACTGTTATCTAAGTTTAACAATTAATGTATTCTTCTTCTTCATTGCTGTCTTGCCTACTGAAGATTGACTCTGACGGAGCTAATGACAATAAGCTATGACAATTTAAGTAACTCGAACGAGGGTGGATTTTCTACTAAAATTTTTTCGCTAAGAAAATTGAAATTAACGATGATTTGTCATATTTCAGTGTAAAGAAATGATTTTGTTGCCTAACTTAAAATTAAGTCCATGCAGGCAGTGGATAAACCAGTGTGTTACTTGATGCGCTTAATCCGGTTTATTATACTGATAAAAGTCGAATTAACTCGACAAGCCCCCGTCGCTGTTCGATTTGAAATGGCCATTCGGTGGATGTTTCGGTTTATATTTAGCCCCGGGTATTTCTGGATGTAGGGTCAGCCGGGTAATAACTCGGTTTATTGTTTAATTCCCGGGGTTGAAAATCGTTTCGGGGTCGTGGCAATCTTACCAGCAATCTTGGAAGGTGTTACCAACAAACCAAAACCTGCAGAACTGTTTCATTTTCTGATTTTTGTTTAAAACAATAAAAAAATGTTATACTAGATATAAACCTGTCTGTCTCGTCATTTATGTTGTTGGAACAATGATGTCAAAGTGGGGTGTTCAAACAGATTGACTTTGCAGGTTGGGCGTGGTTTCCATGGATCGCATGAAAGAATTGGTTAATGTATCGTCCAGTGATGTCGATATGAGGGTGGCTTAGATGGTTAGCTCAATATACATTCAAAGTGGGTGTGAACAGACTGGTTAATCTATGGTCCTTGTACGTCAAAGTGGGCGTGAACGAACTTGGTAATCAATTGGCCTATGACGTCAACCTGGGTGAACGAACTGGTTAGTCTATGGTCCGTTGTACGTCAAATTGGGTGTGGACGGACTGGTTAATCTATGGTCCATGTACGTCAAAGCGTGCGTGAACGAAATTGGTAATCTGTTGGCCAATGACGTCAAACTGGGTGAACGAACTGGTTAGTCTATGGTCCCTTGTACGTCAAATTGGGTGTGGACGGACTGGTTAATCTGTGGTCCATGTACGTCGAACTGGGCGTGAAAGAATTGTTTAGTCTATTGTCCAATGACGTCAGAGTAATCGTGAAGAAAAATGTTCAATTATCCATTGACGTTTTACAGTGTGTGCACATAGATCTCGTCCACCTTCAGAGTGACCAGTCCGACCCATTTGAACTTTATCGGCAAATCAACGGATTTCGATCTTATTTCATTGACACTAGAGAAAAGCCACGTAGATAATCCAATATATATATATTTTTCTTTTATTTTAAAACAGTTAATACGTAAGTATTGACTGAAACAGTCTAAAGATCATACTTGGCTGCGAATTTATGTGGTTTTGAGTTTGATTTATGCTTTCTCTACAAAAAAAATAAATCATTTGCACGAGTTATATCCGACGGTCGGTGATAGATACAATTTCCGTGTCCTGATTGAACTCGGGCAGATACTATGACGGGATACCAGACGTGAAAAGACAAATGATATCATCGATCCGCTAGCCGGAGAATTAATTCGGCCAATAATTGGACCTTCTTGTTTTCAATTTCATCAAGTAATTTGAAGATTAGATGATGTTTGTTTCGATGTCATTAGATACTTACTCGTTATAATTTTGACCTTTCATTATCATTTTCTGACAAAATGTTAAAAATAACCAATTGTTTGCAAACAGATCGACAAGGAAAATATAAAAATTAATAGACAAAATAAATATTTATAGTTTTTACAAAGTTCATTTCGAATGGAAACGATTACCACCTGATGACAAGGCATTATATGAAATCAATTGAAAACTCTCTTAGGAGTCGATTGGATTCAAGTTGTTCCTAAATATCATCCACAAACTTCCGGAACTCTGCTTACTAATTACTGATTATAAAACCAAAACATAAATAATGTTTAAATTCATATGTTAAATATCACAGTGGTTAATTGTTTTAATTATGCTGGGTTGTTCATGGCTCGGGGGAGAAAGCGTCGTTAGTGACACCGGAAGACGCCCTTCGTCTTTTCTCCTTCGTCAGGTCCAGGTTGCCTCTGAAATGCTCTTGCACCTCGTCGAGGGTTCTGCCTTCCGTCTCAGGCAAAAGTAGAAAATAGTAAAGAGATCCAAGGAGACTGACAACTCCGTAGGAAGCGAGGAGGCCTCTAAGTGTGAACAGGCTCACGCTGAAAAAGAAAGTCTTGTTGACGAGGAATCCCAGGGCGTAGCCGATGCAGGACGCAGCACCGCTCGCCACGGATCTCACGTCGGGCGAAAACACCTGATTAAAAAAAACTTGATAAGTCCGCAGAGGTTTTTGCTTTAAAGGTCTTACTTCTCCGATCAGCACCCAGGGGAAGATTTTCGAACAGCTGTTGATGAGGAAGACTGAAATGAGGAGGAAGACGACGGCCGGCCAGCCTTCTCCCACGATGGCTAAAAAGATGAGGCAGACTCCCGTCGTGGCGGTCGTTGTGATCGCGAGGAGCCTTCTGCCGATGAACGGGAGGATACAGACACAGAGCAATGCCCCGAAAAACTGGACGAGGCCTTCCGCAGCAGTCGCGCTGTATGCACCTACCGGGGATTTCAGATCTTCGAAGATACCAACCTGAAAAAGGGAATCAAATTTAATTGGTTAGTTACTTCAGACCGACAGTGGTTAAGGTGATTAGACCATTGCCCAAATGACTTAAGAGTAGACGAGACTAAGCTGGTTAGTATCATTCGCAAGTAGGTTGATGAACTGAGCCACGGTTTATTTGGACGTAATTGATTAGCAGGTTAATCAGTTTAGCGAGGTTTGTTTTGAACATCGTTGGCTAAGAGGAAATGAGTTTAGCCACACTGCTTACAGCGTAGGTCTGTAGGGTGGACATGCCGCTGAAATGGCCGATAAGGAAAGAAACGACGACCATGGAGAAGGGCTTGAGGAACGATGCTTTCATGTAGGGTCGAAGGGCGAAAGGCCTTTTTCCTTCCACGGATTGTATGGAGGTCGTCAGCTCCTCCAACTCTTTCTTGACCGCCTCCGGGCCGACCCATCCTCGCAGCCACCTGAGAGAACCCTCCGCATCTCCGAGCCTACCGCGACCTGGAAGCGAACGGAACGGTCAGAATCGATAATTCGATCGCCTTGGGAGTACTCACTTATCAGCCAATGGGGGCTTTCAGGAATGAGACAGATTGAGACGAACGAGACGAGCGGGACGGCCACGTTGACCAGGGCTGCTTTTCTCCAGTCGAGGTAGTTCCCAATGAAGAACTGGAGGAAGACGCCGGCTAGGCTGAAGAGGATGGACGTCGATGCGAGGGTACCTCTCCAGTCGGGCTCGCACACCTCCGCTACGTAGGTCAGGATCTGCAAAACCCCTGATAAGTTTTGAAATAAAGAAATCATCTTGATGTCCGCTTACAGGCGCTTCGAGAAGGCCGTTTATGAGGCCGTGGAGGGTGACGACGCCGAACAGCTCCGCCGCCGTCCTCGCCTCGCTGTAGAAATACCAAGCAGCGCTGAACGGGAGAGAGAGGGCGATCATAACCGTCTTTCTGCCGAACCTGAGCGTGCATGGGCCGGACAGGAGGCATCCAAAAGGTATCACGATAAAGAACAAGCTACCTGGAAGTACAAAGATTAATTTTTAAAACACTTCCTGTTGAAGTAAATAAACCACACACCGAGCCATGACACTTGGTCTTTGTTGAGAGTTAAGTCAGAGTCCGGCTTGGCGATGGCCGGGATCACCAAAGTCGGAAAAGCAACGCTCAGTCCAAAGCTGAGCTGCAAAGTGCTTTTCGCAGTTACAGCAAGTATCTGGAAAAAAAGAAGGTATATTCAAAGAAGAGTTTACAGAAAAGGGTTGTCATATTTATAACAGACTTCCTTGACCTTGCAGTTAGTTATTTTGTCATACAGCAAGCTTTAACGGGCCTGAGTGATTCAGAGGAGAAAAAGGTTCCTTTTTGTGTCTTAAATGATCCGTATCGATTATCTCTCCCTTGATTTTTATTTTGGGGAGGGGGTAAAAGGAAAAATTAGTAAATCCTCTTAGTTCAGGATCACAGGCGATTATCTAAAATGAGGATATTAATTTGACCCGACTTACTTGTGGAAGAACTCTTCTGAAAGCCGTCACCTCCTCGTCGCTCTCCTTTTTTCCACTCATTGTCCTGGAAAAACGAAATTATTACTGAAACGTTTTATACCAGTTGGGTTTTATTAAACGGGACCAATTAATTTACATTAAATAAACGACCTTCTATGATGATAAATGCTTTACAAAAACATTAAAAAATCATTAACAATTTTAATTAAGTTGTAGAGTCGAAATCGAAAAGGGCATGGCTTATCTGGTTAGTGAATTCTGTAGTGATATCAAAGTAGGTGTATTTATGTGGTTTGCCGTTTAGTCATGATTTCGAAATCAGCATTGCTTAGCTGGTAGGTCAGTTGGTGAATTATCCAATGATGCCATCAAAGAAGACGTGGCTTATATGATTGATTCGTTGAACAAGACGTCAAAATACGCGTGTCTTAGTTGGTTAATGAGTTGTTTTCATGGCGTCATCGAAGTAAAAGTTTTCTATCTGGGTTAACAGTTGATGTCAAAGTGAGCGTAGTTTAACTGGTTGAAGAGTACTATCAGTGGCTCAACTGGTGACTTTTTCTAGTGATGCCATCAAAGTAGGCGTGGCTAAGTGATTTATTAGTTTAACAATGACGTTAAAGAAGGCGTAGCTTAGCTGATTGATAGTTTAACAATGTCGTCAAAGTAGGCATGGCTTAACTGGTTAGTGAACTTTTTTCTGGCGTCAACGAAGTAGCTGTGGTTTATCTGGTTTGATAGTTGATCAGTGATGTCAAGGGGTACGTAGCTTAGCTAACTGATCTGTAGTATTTGCAAACCAAGTTGATCAATTTTCCAGTGATGCCATAAATGGAGGCTTGCCTTGGTTGGTAGTTCGGTGATTACATATTAGGCTTAGCCTAGCTGATTAGTGAATGTTCATCAAAGTGGGAATGGTCTATCTATCATGATGACCACGTCAAAATGTGCTTAGCTTAGCTGGTTGATCAACAATATTCGTGACTCAGCTGGTGAATTTTCTAGTGTTGTCATCAAATGAAGGTTTTTTGTTTCTCATGTTTTGAATACTGTATATCGTCGAGTGGTGGCCGCCTGCAGTTATCACGGTACCCGCTAGGTGACACCACCAGTTCTGGAATGGTCTCACCCTCCACTCTGCAGCCAATCAGAATGGAGCCAAATCGTATGTAAGCGGGAGCCGCACTGACTTCAGACTCGACTCCACGTCTAGATCTCACTAGACGTTGAGTCTTGAGGCTCGTCTCCCCGACGAGTTCTCAGCAATCACTATTGGAGCACCTATTACACTTTTTTTTCTTCTTCTCTTACAGAAAAAGTTTCTCATATTTAGAACAGACTTCCTAGTTTAAGCAGGGAAATGTCATATTGAAGTATAGACAAATTGATTTGAAATCCGTCTTCCTTTTAACTCTTCCACTTAGATGTAGATGTATTAGTCGGGGTGTAATATACAGAGCCCTTTAAGAGCAATATCACCCGTTCTTTGCCTAAATTACACCGGTGAGTCCTATTTCATCTAGGAACTTGATTAGTAGGCCCGGTTTCAGTGGTTGAATCTCTTCTATGGTCACATTGTACATCCAAAGCACTTCCTCCTGCGGGCAAACGTAGCACACAGTTTTATTAGTAGGTGTGCTGGTGTCTCCTCTGCCTTTTTGCAGAATCTGCATGTGCTGTCTTGGATTATCTCAATCTTGTTTAAGTCCTGTTAGGATTCGCAGTTTTTTCCTGCTTCCTTTGACACATTCAGTAGCTTCTTTTCTTTGGAAATTTGTTAGGAGTTCTTGGATTGTCTGTGTCCAATGAGTGAATTCCATTGTTACTTAATTTTCTTTTTGTCCTTCTGTTTGAGGTACTCATTGATAGTGTAGGTTCCTATGCCACAAAATGGTTCAGGCCCTGTCAGCGGTGTGGCAGCTCCTTGCCTTGCAAGGGTATCCGTGTTCTCGTTGCCTTCTACTCCCATGTGTCCTGGGACCCAGCAGAGGCTGACTTTATTCTGCGTACCTAATAAGTTTAATTTGGTTTTGCAGTTCAACACCATCTTTGAACTAATGATACTTGAGCTTACTGCTTTGATGCCTGCTTGGCTATCTGACGCGATAGTTATGTTCTTGCTTTTGTACCTTTTGTACCTTTTAGTCAAGTTGAATTGACATCCCTCGATTGCATGAACCTCAGCTTGGACTGCTGTATTTTCCTATGGGTTCTGAGTATTTGATTCCAGGACCAAATACCCCTGTACTTTCTTGAGTTCTATATCCGTCTGCGTACCGAAAGATGGTGCCATTCATAAAGGAGGTGCTTTCCTCCCGTTCCCATTCTTTTTTGGTTCTTAGGTTTATTTGGAAGTTTTGATTGAATTCAAAATTCCTGTTCATGTAAACATGAGTATTTGATGGTCCTTCGTTATTTTGTTGCTGTCTCTCCATTTTAGTTTTATTCCTGTTGGAGGTTTCTCTTTAATGACACTAATAATTGTTTTCTGTGATATCCTCGTTACCATGTGGTGTAGGGGGATTAATCGCAATATTTTTCCGTACCAACTGTGGGACATGTTCTCATTGCTCCCGTTATACAGATGCACGCAAGTCTGTGTATTCTTTAGAGTTCTTTTCTTTTTGTTACTTGTTCTGCTTTAACGGCCCAGGCTAGGCTCCGTATATAAGCATGGGTCTTACCATCATGGTGTACATCCAAAGCAGGATTTCCGGTCTACATTCCCATTTCTTCCCCGCTATTCTTTTCCACACGCTCTTCAAAATGGCGGGGCCCATGTGTTTCTTGAATGTCAGTCTTCTATCTAGTGTGATGACCAGATAAATTGACCTCTTTTTTGATTTCTATCACAGCGTTATTGAGTTTTGCCTCATTTGATCCAGTTTTCTTTTCCGTGTAAAAGCGACTATGGTTGTTTTATTAGGGTTGATTCCTAAGTCAGCGGTTTTACGCCATTGTTCTGTGATTTTTAGTCCATCGTGGATTATAGTGTTTCCTCGAATTTTCCCCTGGCGGTCAGGACTATCTCATCCGCAAATCCCTTTACGGTCCAGAAGAGGTGACAGTACACCTGCTTGAGGACATCCTTTGGCCGTGCTGACTTATATAGTGTCTGTTCTTATATTTGTTTCAGCTGTTCTAGTTCTCAACATTTCTCCATTCCATCTAGATGTGGTCTGGTCTACGTGTTTTTCTCTAGGGAGACCTTTCATGGATGCATGAGATCATTGTCGAAGCCTCCTTCAAGGAGATTTCCTCTTCCACTTTACTGTTTTAAAGAGCCAGGTAAGACACAATTAACCAGTTGAAAGACGTAAAACACTAGGAAGCTATTTGAAACATAATCGTTCGTGAATTGTGCTATCAAAAAGAGGGGCCATCGTGGGAAACCGCGACTGACAACATCCGCCGACTATTCGCTTGAGCGAAGTGGTCAATTAATTGACTGTTTGGATTAAAACGATCCCCGCGGTTCCAATCCGTCGGGAAAGAGGAGTGGATGTGTTCATTTGTATGCATTTAATTGGCTCTCGACTTCTGTTTATGTTCGATCGTTAAGAGCCGGTTATTAAAAACGGGACAATTAAAAGCCAAACAAAATCAAACATTCGCCAAAAATATAATCGATCATTACTTCTACACGGAGAAGCAAGGCCGCTGATAACAAACCGGAAAAGCCTTCGACCCTATAAAAAAAAAAAAAAAATGAAAATAAGACGAATTGTTAAACTGGAAAGATAAGACGTAAATTGATGTACGGTTTCGTACAACGGGTGAATATTTACTTTTCATCTTCTCACAAGACTCTGAAAACCTTCCAGTCTGGCTAATTACATCATTTCATAATTGTACAAAAGTCGCTATATATTTATATTTATATTACATCCTTTGATTATTTACTCTCTTCGTTTTTGTTGAAAGATACTTTGTAATTTAGTAAGTGAAGCAGTCAACATAAAACGGCGTTGCCAATCCTTTGAAACTTGAAGTTTTTCTGGTCATACTGAGATATTTCCATCTACATCCATGTAGAGTCTAACAACGTTTATGGATCAGAAGCCTACTCTGGTTAGTGTATGGTCCAAGGGCATTTAAGTTGGCGTACTTATGAAGGCAGGTTAGATCAATGACGTCAAGTTTTAGAAGAGCAAAACCAGTTTCTTAACATTTTTTTTTGTTTTTTATACGACCATTGTGTTGCTCATAACTAGTTATCTCAACGTATATCCAGCCTTGAAAATTTTAAAGTTCATTTTAAAGAAAATTCAATCCTCTACAAACTTAATTCGTCACTTTTTAGGAGGGGGTTAATAGATTTAAAGATATTTGCGAAAAATAAAAAAAAATTATTTGCCCGTATCCTATTTGCAGATTATGTAATGAGGAGGAGGGAATATCCATTCATATCATCTTCGAATGCGAAGCAACAGCTCAATGGAGATTTAACCTAACGTACGGAAAAAACTTAGGGAATCAAATTGCAGCAGCGACAGTCAATGACCTGATACTTCTAAGAAGAAGGATTGAGTCTATTGCACTGAACTAAGGAACTAGGAAGGTACAGTAAGCCAGAAGGCTGCAGTGCCTGGTGAGCGCAAACCCCACTTCCTAGTAGCCTTCTTCACCATACCATACCATACGCCTGTCATGATCAGAGTCCCGAGGTCCCTGGAAAAGATGCGAGCGATACGGCTTGAAATTGTAAGTCCGGTGAACATACCTAATTCTATTTTTTGAAAAACCTAAAACCCTTCCAACATGTGGAAGAGAGGAATTTGGTTTTTCTCGAATATACAGTAAAATAGTCAGCTTCTCATGGAAATTACGCTGCTGGTTTCTTGATGATGGAACAGATCAACTGAGAACTGATCCGTATCTGCTCATATTGGGAGCAACACGAATAAACGTTTTGAGGTTTAACCTGTGGCGATCAGAAAATTTCTGCGAGTTCAACTCGACTGCACGACCAATACCTGCAATACCATCACTATCAATAAAGCAGTCGTACGTATCAACTCGCTGTTGATCAGAAAAATGTGCTCTTCTGTTCATTTTGAATGG